GATTGAAATGAGATTTGCAATTTGAAAAAATAAAAAAAAAAAACCCACAGTATGAGAATATTCCCTCTCACATTTCTCCAGAAAATTTCTTCTTTAAAATGTGACAAGTAAAGGGCACAGAGATTGGACCTAGAAAAGTATTTTTCTCCTCACGATATTCTGTACAGTTTTCTGTATTTATGCTGAAGCAAATGAGAAGTCTGAAGAAATTAAACGCTTTAGAGTGCTAAAATCAAAACATAAGCAATACAATTTTTTAATTTCAGTATTTTAAAGTACAGAAAGTGGAAACTATGAATATCAAATACAAATTTAAACAAAGCCACTTGTCCTCCCCTAGAATAATCAATGTGAACTACTTATAGAAACTTACAAATTTAAAGTAAAATCAAAACAAAATAAATACTGTACATACACTTTCCCTGCCTGCAGGCAAAAGAGGATGGGAAATACTGTTATGAATTGAAAAAAATGCTCTTAAAGCTGCAGCATCCCATTTCCCAGCCAAATACTTAACACAGTAGTGCGTTTCTGTAAAAAGGAAGACACACATACACCGATCCCTACTGAGCAGACAAGCTAATATTTTCAGAGACATTAGAAGGAAAGATAGAAATTAGACTATGAGAGTAGAAAAAGGAGAGGAAAAGACAAACGGGCCAGCAAAACGTTACTACAAAACTAGTAAATATAGCCAAGAACTAGCCCCCTTTTTTTTTTCTTTTTTCAAAATTCCATGTTTTTTTTTTTAAAAAAAAGATTCACCAAAGCATTGGCAGCAATAGACATTTCCCAGCAGAAGTGACAATACATATCAATATAATCTCTTAAAGTGATCCCTTTCATTCCCTTCCCACAGCATGAAACTCTTATGGCTTAATTTATATTAAAAGTAGAAAAAGTCTTTTTTTCCAAACAGAAATGCAGCCTATGAAGAACATGCATTTCCTTATCAGTGCTACTTATATTTCCCATCCACTGCATGATTTATCACTCATACGCTCCCACAAAGAGGGTTACTAGGGTGTTTTTTGTTGGGGTTTTTTTTGGAAAAATGGATGTTGCAGCTTTTAATCTTGTTTAACCACAAACAGTAAGGCCCTTGGTTCCATTTGTATTTCTTCTGTGAAAGAGTAGCTCTGGGCTCACTCAACCCCAGAGCTACAAACAGCTTTTAATGGTCTGGAAGTATAAGTGTAATGTGAATGAAACTCTGGAAAGACACTAGATTTGGGGGTCGTGGTGAGGGTGTGAAGGGATAGGTGGGCATGTGGAGCTTAAATAGGGCACTAGTTATAGGCTTGTAGTACCGGGTCATTCTAGTTTCAGTTCTGCTTAGTCTCCACAATTACCAAAAAGGGGGTAGCAAGATTCACATCAGCTCTGGCTCCGAAACCCTGCAAAAATTTTCAATGTTTACAACTTCATGGCCTTGTGAATGAAGGTAGCTTATGCCATATAGCAAAGCCTAGGGACAGCTGAAGCTTCTAAAATGTGATCATGACATTGTGCTCTCTTGTATCTCTACTAAAGGTAACATAAGCACTTCAACCACCAAAAAACCAAAACCCCCAAATCCCCCATGTGATCAGAAAGCAACAATTTTAACTCTCAACATCTAACCCTTTCAAAATTGTCTTTAAGAATGGATTCATGTAGAGTATTACAGGTTGCATAGGTAATCTACCTCAGAGGTCAACAAAGGCTACCTTGTAGCCACGGTTTATTAGCAAGTATAGTACGAGAAGAAAAGGGAAAGTTGCTGGAAGAGTCTTTGATATAGTTTCTAGGTGGTCTTTCCATTTTCATGTTTGGTTTTCTTTTTTCAATTTCAGGAACGTGAGAACTTAGAGAATGAGAAAACCCCTACAATATTTCACTTCCTATTGTTCTGTCAAAAAAAAAAAAAAATAATTAAGTTTTATGCCAAATCCAAGTTCTCTGACTTTTCAAAAAGATTATCCTTGAAAAAGAGTTACTATAGCAGGCTTAATTCTCTTTGTTGTCCAGCCAGTGTTCCCTACTCCCTCCCTCTTCCACCCCAAGTGAGACAGCAAGGAAAAAAATAGGGCTTTTTCTCTCCACTACGACAATACAAGGTTCCGTCCATCTACAGAAAGATTGGTGCAGTAGTGTTTTCATCTATAACACAATAAAAATATCCCTACATACAAGTACACAAAACAAGTGAGGTCACCACATCCTCTTCATGAGCTACCAGGAGACTTTTTTTTCCCTTTTTTTTTTTCCTTTGTTTTTTCTTTTTTCTCTTTTTTTTTTTTTTTTTAATACTGCTAATCATGGCAATTTCTTTTAAATTACTTGTTCTGAGGTGGAACATTAGAATTAACTTCTGCTGGAAGCATGGATATCTGAAGAAAATGGGAATGAACCTCTGCCTGTTGACAGCCTGTGAAGAGACTATTACATAAATTCATGACAGCGGAGAGCCACTTTGAAAAAAAAGTTAGAAAGTAGAGTAAAGAAAGAATAAAATCAAGAAGAAATAATATATATGGGTCCAGCCACATCTGTGTTCCAATATTAAGATACAGATAAATAATGCGGATGGTCAGAAAAGAGACTTTGTATAAGCCAGTCACATGTACAAGAAAACATACTCCATATTTTAAAATTCCTTACTCCAGATTCTATTCTGGCATACTTCTATTTCAGGTAAGTGTTCTCAAGAATCTGCCTTTAAGGAGAGAGAGCTCATTCTTCATTCTGCTCTGAATCTGATTGCTGCCCTAAACCGGAATTGTCTATTTTTAAAAATTATACAGCCAGCAAGAAGTAAACAGTTTGGGTTCAATATGCTAAACCTAAAACAGTTTCCAAAGCCTGGCAGGCATTAATCCATGTGCTCAAGCTTAAGCAGAGAATATTTATATGGGTATATAATTTTAACTAATATTGACAACAGTTTATTTCTTTGACTTTGGTGAGAACATATTAGAAGGTAGTTAAAATATTATCTTTTAACTATTTCCATCTGGAAAACATAGCACCTGAAAACAGCAAGTACTTAAGAGTCACTTTCAGCACCTGTAGAGTAACTCTTAGCTTATGTTCTGCTTTTTAGAAATCCTTTGTTACCTCCGTTCCCAATAGTCTAAACAAGGTTGCTAGCTTGCATTAAATAAAAAAAAAAAAAAGACTGAAAACATGCTTATGTGAAACCATAATTAGCAAACAAAAAAAGGTTGAAAAAATTCACCCATACGCACACACACAAAACTATAAAGTCAAGTCAATACAATGTAAAAGCAGGGCTGCAAAAAACACTCCTAAGTTATAATTCTCAAGCTCCAGAGGAAGTAAAGCCATGAAAGCTACCTGACTTATTTGCAGTTGCATTATGTTTTGATGTTTCTCAATTTAGAAACAGGATAACATAGTGCTAAATAGTTTTGACCCTGCAACAATCAAAAACACCTGACATCAGAACCATTTCCATAAATTTGTAAAGACATTCCTAATCTAGCCTACATAAAAGTAACTCTGCACAAATATTCTGGAAAGTCCAACTGAATTTGTTTTTAAACCACAACAAGAGAAAATAATTCCAGTATAGAATATGGAATAAGGAAAAACTGGTATGGAAAGTTAAATCAATTCAATGACTTGGATAGCTATGCCTGAGTATTTTTACTCTTAGCAACCAAAAAAAACCCCCAAACAACCAACAATATTGTTGTCACTAGCATATTAATGTTTTCATTTTGGCTGGACCCTGCAAAATGCCCTTTTTCCAGAATCAAGTAAAAGTATTCCCCCTTCCACCTTCATCCTCATCCCCCAAAAGTTAAATATTTCATTTTATATTACAGAAAAATACAAATTTTAAATCAAAATTATTTACAGTAATTCAGAATCGGCATTTGCTATCAGCTCTGTATGAAGCCTGACACAAATGATCATTCTGATACCAGTAAGCTACTTAATGCTTATATACGCACCAGTTAAGACTTTTAATTGGCCGTCTCGCCCAGCTTTGAAAGCAACACATATTCTCCTACCTTCCTGACTCTTCAGTAAAATGTGTTTAAAGTACAACACTATTTTAATGCTTCTTCCACGCTACATTAAGTAATATGCCAAATCTTAAGACTGCAATGTATATCTTATGAGTTATTTCAGAGTAATTGTTCTGAAGAAACATTTATCTTAACTGATGTCCCTGTTTCTCCAAAAAGATATATTATGTTTCCCTCCTTTGTACCAACTCTTAAATAACCTGTACAAATACAATTTCAGGGAGCCTTTTTACAGAAGAAAATCATCACTGATAGATCATCAGGAGGAAAACTATGCACTCCAATTTGGAGGAAAGGGGTGCAGTTTAAAACAAGTTAGCTACTGGACTGACATAAGAAGATTCTTCTGTCTTTAGGAGTCTCTTCTAGTCCATCAAATAAATAAATCTGTATAAAAGAGGACAGGTCAAAAAATAATCAAGCTGGCAGAGAATATGCAATTTGCAAGTCAAGAGAAGCACAGCCAATAGCTTACAAAAAAAGCAGGAAAAAAAATAAAAGATTCCATATGCCTTAATTTAAAAAATAATTAATAATGCATCTCACCCCTATTTAAGACTATAACCTGAATATCAAATTTAGGAGTCCAGACTAATCACAATTAATGTGGCTCTCCACTGCACCAAACATACATTATCAAAACAATTAAAAACTTTCACATTCTTAAATCTAAATTAATAACCTCCACAAAAAAAGTCTTCCAAATAAATAGGTTTTTAAAATGAATTTAAAAGTTGACAAAATCTATCAGAAATAAATTATTGATAAACCACCTTCATCATCTTCCCCTCATTAATTAGGTCAGAAACTACCAGCAACAAATGATATTCAAGCCCTGATGAGAGACTATTTCTCACAGTCCATGTCTCTCTAAAGATTTCCCCATTCCCATATGGTTATTGCTGAGCAGGTGTGGCACAGTGAAAATGCAGCATTGGGTTGGTTTTTTTTTTGTTGTGGTTTTTTTTTTTCTTTCTCATTTTTGTTCATCAGGCAGTGTTTTATATGGTACATGCAAGTCTGCTTCAAGCAGAGGAATAACAGCAGCTCCAGGCTCTGTTGACCTCAATACTGGTCTGTGTAGGAAAGACAGCAGTAGTAGAAGTAGCAGCTACATTAAACAAAGAAGCGTGCATGGCCATTCCGGTTCAGCTTCAAGATCTTCCCGAGGCGCTGTTTAGCAGTTGCCATTCCTTTCTTTGGACGTTTGCCTGAAAAATGAAATCAAGTACTTCAATCAGGAATTTCAGAACAAATTTTTATCATCATAGAACAAAGATGAAACCCAGCTTTCAAGCTGAAGCAGGCAAAATTTTCACCTGAATCCGTTTCAAAAAAAAAAAAACCAAAAAACCAGCAAGCTCTTCATTTGTCTGTTTGGGAGCAAACAAACAGGGAATCAGAATTGTAAAAAAACAGGAATTATTTTCCCTAAACTCTGGCTAGCATTATCATAATTAAAGCAATTATATTATTTACAAACATTTCCAGTCTAGGGAAGGGCAGTGGGTGTGGTAGGGGAGATCCTAAACTGAGTTTCCTGAATTTTGCTCAAGTAAGTTATTCCCTTGAGTAAATTATAGAAAACAAAATAGAAACCAAAAACTAAATACGATGATCATCAGACTATTTTTTGAAGTGTCACAGCTTTTAAACCTTCACTTCAATAAACAAATCTGATTCAGGCCAGTGTTTCAGAGTATAGCTGTAGTTCTGTTCCCTGTAATAAATGCGTAACACATACACCTGCAGAGGTGCAACAGTAACTATGAGAGTTTCATCTGGCCACGCACCCAGTTAGATCTCTCTTAATTCCACCTCCACACATTCTGTGCCAAAAACTGAGTGTCCACAGGATGCCCATTTCATATTTTTCCTCAAGGTCTAAGCCTGTCCTTTTTTCAGTTTCTGCACCTAACAGCTCTTTTTGATGTTTACAAGCTGCTTTTCCTCATCTTCCCCCCATCTGGCAAGAGGACAACAGAGATAAACATTACCTTTTGTCGCCTGGTTGCTGATAGGGGGTGGATTTGATGCTGGCCTCTTTGTTGGATGAAGTGGTACAGACAAGGATGTTTCACCATACGGCCTGTCAGGGCTAAGACTGCCATCACTCAGCCGACATTCTCCTTGAATTAGATTGGAGTCTCGTGTATACTTGCCATGCTGAAAACTCAAGCCGTTGTTGTGGACTATACTTCTGTTGTCCTGAACCTTATGATTGGCTTCTGATGCACCCTCTTTCTTGATATATTTTTGACTTTTACTTGCATCCTAGTGTGGAAATGAGAAGAAGAAAAAAAAGTGGAAGTTGATACCTTCCGGCTACAAGTTCACTCCAGTTTTTCTAATTATACTACTGTATCTTTGAAAAAGATATTTCAGTTCCACCGGTGTCTGACCACTTTATGAGTCCATCATTTCTTTTAGTATAGATACCTCTTAAAAATAAGATACAATATAGTATCTCTGTGCAAGCTTTTCCATATGCACTTAAGGGCAGTGTTATAGATTAATTACACATACTAGTGTACTCAGTTTCTCTGCTTTTTGGTTTTAGTTTGCAGTGACCAAAACAGATGCAACTACTCTTGATTAAACTGGCCACTATAGCAAGCCATACCATAACTATTGACTACGTGAACAGGCAATTTGTTTTCAATATTCAGCTGATGAGAGTACAAATGCTAAATTGGGAATTACAAACTGTAAGGAGTATCATGTAGTTAGATATTCTTAGGAAAAAAACAACCTAAAAAGCGTGCAGTTAAAACATAGCTATTAAACAGCATTGTTGTTTTGCAACTTTTATTGTTCTATTGTTCTATTTAATTGTTCTAGTGAGCCTAATACAGACAAGTTTAGAAATATTAAAGTTCAGAGTGTAAGACACACAACCTTTCATTTATATATTCCTTGCTGGATTCCACCTGGACATCAGAAAGTAAAAATATTCCTACCTGCTGGCTGTTGAAAGGTTGTATCAGTTTGGCAGTATCAATTTCCTAAGCAAGTATCTTTACTATAAATACTATCAACAGGTTCCACTTGTTCTGATGCTCTGGTTGGGAATAACAACGAATAAACAATACAGTGCTTCCCCCGTCAGACTGAATGTAAATTCACACTTTCTTTATGAAGTACTTTTTATTTTTCAAGATACTGCCCTAAGCATCTTAATACTAGCCACTATGACAGAAGAGAGTTTGAAAGGAAAAAAAGAAAAAAATCAAAACACCACCAACGAAAAAAGCATGACAAAAATATAATAGTTACCAGCATCAGAAGTATCTATTATCAGATGTGCAGTGTGGAAAGATCTGTCCACCATGCTTTCTGTACTTACAACTTCAGGATCTCTTTTTCCCATAAAAATTTTTGTGTTCAAAACATTTAAAGTGTTGCTTTACCTGAGGGGTAATCCTTGAAGCTTCATTCAGGTGTCTAGCCCATGCTGAAGTCCCCAGGTCTCTTTCCTCTTCCTTCACAGACCTACCTAAAGAGAAGTTCAACAAGCTTAAATTTTAAAATAAAAAACTAGGAATACAAAGTTAATTATACATTTGAATAACTTTAGAATTAAAACAGGAAAGAAAGGAAAATACAATGGAAAGTATTTCCTAGGTACAAAATAAAAGTTGTCAGAGCTGCTCGGTTCTACACACTAAATTGGGAAAACAATCTCACAGTATAAAATATCTTAATTAAAGATCCATATACCACAATAAGAAGGTCAGACAAATATCATCGTTCAAATTTGAAAGTACTGATGTTGAAGACAGCTTACTTTCTTTGTTACGCTACAGGTTTCAGTTTTCTACCATGGCTTTGTTCATGAGGAGTTCATACGAAGATGGACATTGTCTTTAATTTTCAGGTATTATTGATTGTATTGTTTCTAAGCACTGATGTGCTATTCAGGTACAACATATGGAAGATCTATGCTGATAGGCCTATAGAAGAAGTGTCCACATTGAAAACACAGTTACAATACAGTTAACTTGTAAAATTAAGGGTATCCCAAAACACCAGTTCAATTTGAATTTGGAGAGACCGAAAGGTTTTTTGCAAAACCTGCTAGCTAAGAAGCACAGTTTCATCTTCTTCATCCATGCATGGAGTCTGATAAGTGTACTGGGTCTGTCCAGAATAGAATTTCCTCCTAATAGTCCATATGGTGCTGTATTTTAGATTTGTGGCTAAAACAGTGTTGATAACACACCAAAGTTTTGGCTGTTGCTGAATAGTGCTTGCACAGTGTCACAGCCTTCTCTTTTCCCACTCTGCCCCCTGCAGTAAGTAGGCTAGGGGTAGGCAAGAGATTGGGAGGGGACATAGCCAGGACAGCTAACCTGAATTGGTCAAAGGGATATTCCATACCATATAACATCACGCTTGGCAATAAAACCTGGGGTAGAGGAAGAGGCTGGGGGGAAAGGCAGTCTTCCAGGGTAGTCATTGCTCAGAGACCGGTTGGGCATCAGTCTGCTTGCAGAAGGTGGTGAGTGATTGCCTTTGCACCATTTG